GTAGCCGCGCGGCATGGGGTTCGAACGAGCGGGGATTTAAAAATGGCGGCTCCCCGCTTATGCAAATGAATCCTGGGAAATTCAAATCCCGGGCTTCATTTGCAAGTGCGGTATGCCTACATTACCCTCCTAGTTCGAACTAGGAGGGTAGTGTAGACATACCCTAACAGATCTATATGGGCATAAGCTTTTGAAGGTAAAAACCACTTTGACAAATGCATGGAGAGGATATCACAGAGACAGGGAGATATATATATACTAGCGTATCAAAAGAAGGGTGTTACTTATTAATGGGACCAGCATTAAGGAGGCCAAATCACTGAGGATGGATTTGGCTCACTCCCAGCAGTTGATGGGAGGTATAAATACCAAGAGAGGGGAAATTGCTTTTGTAGAGCGAGAACCATTCTATGTCCTTATTCAGTCCTGATTTTATTGTGTTTAACTTAGAATGGTTATTCATTACAAAGGCAATTTTCCCTCTCTTGGTATTCACACCTTCCATCAATTACTGGGAGTGAGCCACATCCATCCTCACTGATTTGGCCTTGTTAACATTGGTCCTACCCTTGTAATGCTATTACAGAATTCAACATGAAACAAGCTAGATTCTAGTCCATGCAAATGGGTTGAAAATATTGCCTAAGATGATTTCCATAAGGAAGCTGCTCAGTACCTTTAATAATTTTTGTTGCCCTTATCTGTACCTTTTCCAATTCTAATCTATCTTTTTTGAGATGGGGTGACCAGACCCACGTACTATATTCAAGGTTGTGTGCATACCATGGATTTATATAGTGGCATTATGATATTTTCTGTCTTATCCCTTTCCTAATATTTCATAACACTCTTAGCTTTTTTGACTGCAGCATATTGAGCAGATGTTATCAGAGAATTATACAAAATTAATCCAAGATTTCTTTCTTTAGTGATAACAACTAATTTAGACCCTATCATTTTATATGATTAGTTCAGATTATGTTTTCCAGTGTGCATTACTTTGCATTGGTTGACAATGAATTTCATCTACCATTTTGTTGTGCAGTCATGGTTTACTTAGATCTCTTTGTAACTTTTCACTCTGCTTTGGACTTTATGATCTTAAGTTTGTATTCTTGGCAAATTTTCCCACCTGTTTACCTTTTTTCCAGATCATTTATGAATATGTTGAAGAGTACTGATCTCAGTATGTATCCTTGTGGGACATTACTATTCACCCCTCCATTCTGAAAATGGACTATTTATACCTAACAAT